ATAGGACCTAGTGAGTGGCAGAGTACCTAGCGAGGGATATAGTACAAACATAGCAAGGGACAGAGTACCTAGATAGGGATATAGTACCAGCCTAGCAATGGAGATAGGATCTAGTGAGCGGCAGAATACATAGCGAGGAACTCAGTACCAACCTAGCAAGGGCCAGAGCACAATATGTACCTAGGGAGGGATATTGTATTAATCTAACAAGGAACCAATCTAGCAAGGGACATACACTACCTGTTGAGGGGCAGAGTACATACCTAGCGAGGGACAGGGTACCAGTAGTTAATCTGACGCTGGATGCACACTGGAAACAATACCATATGCTCCTCCTCAAAATGCTGGACGATTTTCCTCTCCAAGTACAGGTTATTCCATGGCAGCTCTTTGGTGAGTACCACGGACAACTCTAGTCCATAGTAAAACAACATCATGGCGTTTGACCTTTTTGCGAAATTCGCCACGTCCTTCTTTCGAGTACCGGAGGGCTTCCACAAGGATCCCCTTTTAACCTGACACGGGGCAGTACCGCAGTGACGGCAGAGGGAAGGACCTGTACAATTTACAAACAAATATTTATGTTAGATCAAATTTCCGAAATCCAAGGTTTAAATTTTTGACACACAAAACATTACTTTCTATGCATCCTTAGATTTTATCAGAAAGGAATCTGGGACTGACAGTTAGCTATCCGACTGGTTCCAGACACGCAAAATCTGACCAATCATTAGGCTTATACTGTAGAAAGTGGTACCCGTACTTTAAAGATTAGCAAAGAGCTACTCTGAGATCAAAGCCTGTCAAGTTTACAATTACACTGTACGTTACCAAACAATTCACTTTGATATTTTATCAAAAACATTGGTCTGAGAACACAGGTTTGCAAGATTCTGAAATGGTTCACGAGCCATTAGAAATCGTGTATCATCCGCAAGGTGGCGAGTAAAGGTAGTTTTTACCACACTTGAAATAAACTTTATCTATTTAACAAAAATCAAAATAAACTTTATTTATTTTACAACTTTCATGAAACAAACTATTTTAACTTATATTAATCACTCCTGTTGGTCCAGATGGCGTGGATGGTTTTAATGTGGGAGGAAACCGGAGTACCTGGACAAAACCACCGTGGTCGGGCAGGTGACCCCGTACCTTTTCACGTCCGACCAGGGAATCGAACCCCGACTGCCTTGGTGAAAGGCAAGTGCGCTATCCACTGCGACACCCAACCACAACCGTTGAGTCATGGAAATGTACATTAACTCTAGAAAATATCTTAATTATAGGGTAAATAGAACTAAAAGTGAGACGATAATTATACTAGACTGCGGCCAACATGGTTAACAACTTTCGCGAATAAAAATGTGCCATTGAAACCTATTGTAAACTGTTTGACATTTAATGTTTTTATCATCAAAAGAAAGTGGGGGAAAGGCGGTTCAAAATACAACATGACAAACTACAATGAAACACAAACATCTAATCACATTATGAATGGTTACTTACGAGCTCTCCATTCTTGGAACATCGACACGGCGGCGGACCATTTCTCTTTGACGATTTTTCCGACCGACGGCACATAGCCCAATAGCAGGGTAAGAATCACACACATGAGATCATAGAATACTTCATTTCCAATTCGCTAAAAGAAATCAAATTATAATTCTTTTCAAGGAATTTTATGATAATACAAACATTCAATGTTCCAGACCCACCTAAGATATCGACATTGGTGACGTCACGTGGTTCTGATCAGTCGACTATTTTTTTTGCTCTGCAAAAATCGATACAAATCACCTATTTTGAGATGGTTTCAAAAGTTCATATTTGGTCCTGTTTGATGTGGTAGAACGAACAGGCGGAATATTGGACACTTTTTGGAAATTTTACTCTAGAAAGTGTGATTTGAGGCTGTCTGATTTTCTGAATATGGACTGAAAACGCCACAGTGACTACTACTCACCGCATACTATATGTAACTATACGTATACCTGGATCTCTATGCCCGTCAAGTTGTACATATATTTGTAAGCATTGTCAGCTTAAACATGCCTGGACCGGACAAATCTACTGGAGTTTCGACAAGAGGTAGCTCGGTCAGTAAAGATAGACGTCAGAGTGGATTTGGTAGTGAGGTGAAAGACAGAAGGACAGTGGAAGATAGATTAGACGAACTTCTTTCCTCTATGCTAACTCGGGAATATCTCGACAGGAAGATTACCCAACTGAAGGAAGACATATGTGCGGAGAATAAAGAAATCACAGATCGCCTGGAGGGAAGAATACATGACCTGGAGACGGATAATGAAGATCTCCGGAAAACTGTTGAAAGTTTAGAAGGAGAAATCGGAAGATTACATGCAGCGAGAGGAAAGGCAGATAACAAACTTAACGACCTTGAGCAGCACGGAAGGAAAGATTCTCTGCGGATTATGGGCCTGGAAGATACATCGGAGAAGGAATCGGTTGAAGAGTGCGTGGAGAAAA